AAAAAAAAAATTTTCTAGCAACTCTGTTTCTAAACCACGTTTAAACAAAACAATAGTCTCAAGTTCATGACACCAATCATTTATAAATAGTAAACAGCTCCAAAGTGGTGGCTGTTAGAAACACTCAAACAACAAACTTCATATAGTAGAATATAAAGTAGTAACAGTTACTTAACATAAAGCAAAATATAGCTGGCATTTAGCAGAATCACAGCAAGCAACGTTGTAGTATCAATCTGTCAAGATCTTCAAAAAAAAAAAGCTAGTAAACTACTTAAACGCACTTCTAGTTCAAATATTAAAATTGTAACTCTGAACCTAAAAAATACTTTGAACGAATAAAATAAATAAAGTCAAAAAAAAGTCCTTTACCAACATAAAGTTTCATCTCTGAACTTCGAAACTCAGCAATTTTCCAACAGCGGGGTAAGATTATGATTTCAATTGTTCAGAGCTGTTATCTTAACCCGAAGTAACAAATCAAAAACTAAAAATAACAGATAAACAAGAAATTCCCACAATCTGACTATAGTAACAGACGATCTAAGAAGACATTCCAAAGTAAACCAGTGAATAATACAAGTACTGTCGCTTATGAAGAAAATCCGTCGGGAATTTCTGAACCAATTTAAGAACAGAAGTTGCACCGACGTTATGCCGAATAATCAAGATGCAAGCAGAATTATCGACAAGACACGTAATACCATAAAACATTTTGAAAACTCGTCCAAAGTTTGAAGACTAAAACTCTTTGTTATGAGGAAGAAACAAGCCATCGTTAAAAATTACAAATTAGTAAAAATGTAAAACAACTAATTCTCTCCAAAGAGTCATGACAGAGAAGTAAATGTAAAACCAACCCAAAATTTTTTCATCAGTTGTGAGGAATTTCTTCAAAATTCCCTTTTGAATATTCAGACCTTTAGGAAATCTTCGTAATATATCAGGTTCAAAAGTTACGAAACATCCGCGTTAGATTTTAGATTCTGTAACGAGCAAAAATTATATTTTCTTCAAAACCAATTGTTAAAGAGATGAAAAAACATCGCTTCTCTGTAGACCAAAAAATAAAGTTCAAGAAATCCAAATAAGTATGATGTACTCAAGACTGCAGATACAATATGTACAGCTTTACTCAACAAATGACTTATACCTTCCGCCATGCAACCAGTGACGTTAACGATAAATAGAAACTAAAGAAAGTTATCATCAAACAAATCTTCAGAAGGCAAGGTATTCATTTGCTTCACTACGACTTGTGACAAGCGTTTATGAATAAGACCTATGAAATATAACAACCTTATCATCACCGATGCCAGTTTTAGAACGCTTTCGCTTACTTTTTTTGTTATTCCTTTCCTTTACTCCATTATCTTTTCCGCTAGACTGTACATTCAATGACTCCGATCCCCTACATTTTTCGCAGTTCTTGTATAAATCATCAATTTTGGCCTAAAATGAATCTGTTGTGGCTAAAAAAGAGCATTAAGGTGCCTGAAATTGTGACGTGATTTTAACTCCCAATAAAAGAAAAGTTCCAGTACTCAAGGTCCGTGAGATGGTTTCAAAAGTTATTAGAGAGTATTGAAAACTCTAAAATAGAATAAAAAATTCCTTTTTTTCAGAAAACAAGGTTTCAAACTTCAAGGGTCGTTAAAATGAAAAAGCAAGTGAAAAAGATACTGACAACAAACTCCTCAAATTTCTTTGATAAATTGGCAACTTGATTGATAAGTACATCTAACTGTCGCCCATCTAATTCGTCGAATGACCCATTTACATTTTTCATACTTCTTAGCTTATTTTTAATAATTTCTAGTTGTCGCGGAAGAACTAGTATTCCTAAAACAAATTTTATGAAGGACGTAATAAAAAACCAGTACTGGAGCCACAAAGGTAATAAAGCCTCCAAGTGGCTGAAGAACTAATTAACTGGTTTATTTAAATAACTTAAGAAGAAAAGCAAAAGCCTTTGAGAATTTCATTGAAGTTCAAAAGTTACTAAAGATGCCAATTCAGGAAGAAATTTGCTTTAAAATTTACCTTCTAGCTGATGCAAAAGTCGAAGATGGGACACTCCAAGAAAAACGACAGCGGTTACAATGGATATAAGAAGCAACATTAAAAAGCATTTTGAGGTACAAATTTTTCGAGCTTTAGCAACTGAGTCTTGTGGAACCTTTCCTGACCTAAAAAAAATAGCTTTAAATTACATGCAAAAATTTTTGCTCATCTAGAGGTCTGAAACCTATTAAAGGCAATTAAAAAGTCAAGAGATGAAAGAAAGTAATAAAAAACAGAGATCCCTTGAAGGCCTACCTAAAAAAACGTAAGTCCGTTTGACGACCGGTTGATGGTAAATCTAATTCTGAGACATCGGAATCATCAGACATCAAGAACTCTTCACTGCGATGCATCGTTATCAAAATTTGAATATAAAGACGACTAGAGAAGATTATATATTATGATAAAAGGCGATAAAAAAACACATTAAGCAAAGCTTTCCTTTACCATTTAAATACCGCCTAAAAAATGGCAGAACAATCCATTTTCTTCTCCTTTTTTCACTTAGTGATCGGTAAATAATCACATAAAAAAAATGAAAGTAATGAACCGTTAATGCCTAGCTTGGTAAGTACCAAAAACCGTTGTCGGTAGGCCACCCAGATGGCGTATCTGTCCCAGATTATGTAAGCGTAGTACGATGCTGCAGTTGTTATCCTGAAGCATACCACATTTTCAAAATGCTGCTGTCTAAAGCAAACAACGACGACAACAAAAACAACAAAAAAAAAAGACGCACTGTTTAATTTGTCTGAAAAAGTACCCAACAGTTGAAATAGCTGCAAAAACAAAGTCGAAACGCAAAAAAAGATCCACTACCATGCTGATATTATGTGGAACGTATTCCTAACGAAAGAACGATAATAAACAAAGATTGCCAACTAGATCCGTAATGAACTGCAAGATAAGTACCAGCCATTTGTTTCTCAAGGACTTAAGCTGAAGACAAATGACCCGCACGAGAGAAACTGATACTAATGAAACGGCTGGTTGGACGTGTTTCAACAGCACCCAGTCCCAGTGAATCATGTGTGCGGTATCCGTGGAACATTTCCATTTTTGACCTGTTTCTTCTTCGCTCCCATAAGCTGCTCATAAGATCTTTCAAAGATATGTACTTTTTTTTTTGCACTTAGTTTTTAAGCCTTCGTCTACCAACGCTGGCGATGTCAATCAGCAACTATGTCACTTTTATCGTTCATTAAAATAGTTAACAATTAGAAAGCAACCAATCTGTAAGATTCCGTGATCACTTTTTTATTTTTTCCCTTCTTTCATTCATCCCCATTCAACAGCACAAGCTGT